TCCCAAAACTGAACAAACACTTGAGTCTTCCAATCACAAGATCTCACAACATGGCAGGTATGATTTTTTTTAAAGCAAAAAACAAATAATTAAATTTGAAAGATATATCAAAGTGACCCTTAACAGTATCAGAGATAAAAAGAAAATCCTCAAAGCAAAGATTGAAAATATATTAATACAATGGGCTAAAATTCCCAAGAATGAGAATCAGATTGACATCAGACATCTCTCTCTTTATCCACACAGTACACATAAAAGATAATAGACAAACATCTTCAAAGGCTGGGGGAAAATAACTTTGAATCAGAACTGCAAATGCAACCAAATTTATCATCCAAAAGGGAAGATGTAATAAAGATCTCTTTGGACATCCAATGGCTCTAAATCACCGCTGGCCCTCTATCTAAAAGACAGACACACACACACACACACGCACACGCACGCACACGCACACGCACACATACACACACTCTTAATAGTTTAACCATAAAAATGATTTTTTTTTTTAATTTTTTTTTAACTTTTTTTTTTTTTTTATTTCTAGGAGAGAGAGAGACAGTGTGAGCAGGGGAGGGTCAGAGAGAGAGGGAGTCACAGACTGAAATAGGCTCCAGGCTCTGAGCTGGCAGTCAGCACAGAGCCCGACGCGGGGCTCGAACCCACGAACCGCGAGATCATGACCCAAGCGAAAGTCGGACGCTTAACCGACTAAGCCACCCAGGCGCCCCAAAAATGATTTTAATAATAACTTGAAACTAACTTTCCAGATGAGAGAAATATGGGAGAGGAGACAGGGTAGAAAGAACTAAAAAAATTTCTCATTTGAATAGAGAATACAGATACTGATAAATATTTTCTAATAAAACCTTCAATTAAAGTACATTCTTAAAGAGTAACATACAGAATAGAACTACAACGGACACCCATCACGTCTCAATCTCCCACTCCCCTGACAAATCTAAAAACATCTTAAGAGGTATTTTTAAAATTAATGGCATGAACAAGTTTTTATGTGGGCATAAGCTTTTATTTATCTTAGATAAATATCTAGGAGCAGAATGACTGGATCATGTGGTAAGTGCATGTTTAACTTTTTAAGAAACAGCCAAACTGTTTTAAAAGCAGCCACATCACTTAACGTTCCTGCCAGCAGTGTGGAAGAGCTCGTCTCCACTCCTACCGCTTAGGATGATCAGTCCTTTTCATTTTAATGACAGCTAGCTAGACAGATAGACGGTAGAATATGTGGTATCTTCTTGGGGTTTTGCTTTGTAGTTCTCTAATGACTAATGACATTCGCCATCTTTTCTGGCACTTATTTATATCTTCTTTGATGAACTGTCTATTCAAGTCTTTTACCCATTTTTTGAGTCATTTGTCTTATTACTAGCTAAAATTCCAACAGAAATTATCCTTTTGGCAAGAGGAACCAAGAAAAGGTAGTAGTTAAGATGATGCTGTACTGACACAAGACTCAACAAATAGATCAAATACAGTGGCTACAGAGCCCAGAAACGCACTCTGTGTATGTGGGAACTTGGCGTATAATGGCAGCATCATTTAAAATTCGTGAGGAAGAGACAAATTATTCCACAAATAGTGCTGAGACACCCAAACTTAGACCCTATCTCCTACTACCAAGAAAAGTAAATCACAGATGGATTCTTTACACTTAATCATCACTAGATTGATTGACTGATTGATTGATTGGTTTTTGAAAGAGACAGAGAGCGTGTGCACACATATGAGTTGGGCAGAAGGGCAGAGGAACAGAGAGAGAGAGAGAGAGAGAGAGAATCTTAAGCAGGGTAAGCAGGCTCCACGCTCAGCACAGAGCCCGATGTGGGGCTTGATCCCACAACGCTGACATCATGACCTGAGTGGAAACCAGAAGTTGGATGCTCAACCAACTAAGCCAGCCACCCAGGCACCCCTCAGCACCAAGCTTTAAAATTATTATTAACCCTAATATAATAAAGGCTCTAAGTAATAATTATCAACATCTGCTAACACGCCAAAAAAGATAATCAGACATAAAGTGCTTCCTGATATAAGTACACACCACCTATTCAAGTATTCTTGCCTGAAAAACTCAAACCTGAATATGATCACATCTCTAGATCTAACCACCCCCTTTACAGGAATAGAGAAACATATTTAAGATCACCACAGGGATGCTGTCAGCAAAGTCCAGACTCTGGGAAACTTCATGGGACAAATAGCCTAGTTATTTCAATAATTACCAGGGGGTGGCAAAAGGAACAGAGGGGTAACCTACCAACCGAAAGAGATTTAAGAGACACATCAGTATTGCAAGGCATGGATCTTATTTGAATCCTGAATCAAACTAATGCAACACACACACACACACGTATGCACACATACACACATGCATGCACACATACACACATGCATATATGTATGTATGTATACGTGTGTGTGTTCATATATGCATGTGTGCGTGCATGTGTGTGTGTGTGTGGCATTTGTACTAGAAAATGTCAATCAAGTCCCTGCCAAGGCATCGTGGCAGGGCAGGGCATATGAAAGGTAAGGAAAGGGGAGATACAGGCATTCTCTGCTGGGGACACCATCACCTTTCCCCAGCTTCTACACAGATGGGGTCTGCTGTGAACGCAATGTCATCTTGAAAGCAGAACTCTCTTCTTATCATACTGGTCCTGGCCCCTCACACAGGCCCACAGTAAAAAAAAAAAAAAAGTGACCTCTTACTTTAGATGTCCCAGAGCTAAAAACAAAATATCTGCTATTGCACTTAGTCATTTCAGGAGCCATGGTGCCTAACTTTAGGGTGGAACAGTGTAATGGATGGATGGACGGACAGATGGACAAATGAATGGATGTTCAACCTACCAACTGCATCCTGAGTCCCACTAAAAGCCCAGGGCTGAATCTATTCCAGTGTTCCCTCAGTCAGACTGCAGAGAATTTGAAACATACTTCACAAGGTTATGCAAAGTCAAAGCTGGACAGGTCCTAAAGGATCATTTGTTCTATCATCATTTCATTTTATAGAGTATAAAACTGAAATATGTAGAGGACTATTTACCCATTATCTATAGAGGCTGAGTCAGGTCTGAAACCAGAGTCTTGACTCCCAGTACGGTGCTCTTTGCATCAAAGGGTTATTCTTTAAGTAATAAGCCTTTGTCTTTGTGTCCTTACCTAGGTCATTCCACCAACTTTGTGGTAACTGTGCTCTTACCCTCCAACCGGTCCAAAGATTACTGGATTGCCAAGGGATCAGCTTTGCTCTGCCAGCTAAATGAGTGAAAAGTCGCCACCTCTTGCTAAAAAAGAACGAGGCCAGAGATCTTTCCCGATGGGGGACAAAGGTCTGTTTAACATATGTGAGCAAAACAGCTTTACTTCTGATCTGACTTAAGGCTGGTTAGTGTGGCTTTTCTTGTCTAACCTAAAATAAAGTGTCTGAGTGTTTCACTGTGTTGGTAATTCGAGCTCTGATGTGAACGCAGTGGGTTCAGCACTCACCTCTTAAACCTGCTCCCCCTCCCCCATGCCAGAGCCAGGCAGCTTCCCATCAGTAACTTGGAGGGAGTAAGGAGAGGGCCTGGGCAGAGTCAGAACTCACCAATTCCTCACCCAGATGGACTTCCTTCCTCTTCACACTGCTATAAAAGGCCCCTTGTACATTTCTGTCACATGGCCCCAGATGCTTCTGTTCCTAGACCAGATTTAAGGCTCAGATCCCAACACATGGGAAGCAGATGAGCAAGTGAGCTGGACAAGATCTTGACCCCATGGTGCCAATTCACCCCTCTAGGGCCCATCCCGCTATCCTCAGAGGAGCCTGCTGTGCTTCACAAAAGTGTAGGTTGGTCCTGCCCAAGTACAGAATTTCCCCTTCCGCGTTGGACGAACCTGTGTAAAAAGCATCCAAGTCCTTCCCGGGCACACCTGAGCCCCTGCCACCTCAAAAGCAGAGGTTGCTGGGCCAGTACTGAGGTGCAGCAGTCACCGTGCCAAGCCGTCTTGTGTCAGCCAAGCCAACCAGCGTCTGTTTGCCTCCTCGGCCACATGTGGGTCAAGAAGCTGGGACTCACCCAGCTAGCAGGTGGGCCTCTGGATAAAGACACATCAGCCCCTTCCAGAAATGTGGAAGAACTGAATCGGGCCCAGTAATCCTACCTTCCCCTTCTACCTCTGCCTCCATTCCCGTATCTACCAAAGCTAAGAGCAGGCTCAAGTCGCAGGGCAGGAACCGCGACTCTTGGCGTTCGGAGCAGGAACAGGTGCTTACTAAGCCGTGGGACGGGAACGGCTGCAGCTGCAGGAGTCAGAGGCTGACGTCTGGCACCACAGCAGCTGTATTCCCAGGTCAGAAAGCTGTAGGAAACTGAGCCAACCTCAGGGCTCTACCACACCCGTGAAGCGGGTGACTGGACAGGGAAACGCACGGCCTGGCCACTGCACAAACTCATGTCTGCAGCAGCCTGCACACAACTGCCACCACTACCGAAGAAAAGGTTCAAGGGTCTTCTGTTCCCCTTGAACCCTGCAAGTCTCACATACGTCTATGTCATCAGGAGAATCTCAGCCATAGCAGCAAGGGAATCTAGGAAAGTTTAGCCCTCCTCCCCCCGCAATACAGAGAGTACGGAATGCACTGAAGGTGGAGGACAGGCCTCCTGAGCACCATCTCGCCACTCTAAGTAGACCCGAAAGATCTTCTGGGCCTTGGAAATGGTTGAGAATGCACTCCCCTCCCCCCAAGAAAGTCTAGGAAGGGAAGATCACAGACCTGCAAGCCCAGGCAATCAAGCTTACCCTAACCAGATTAGAAACAAACACATCTACTTCCAAGTCCTGGGCAGGCCGTCCTGGGTTTCTGTGAGCTGCTCGAAGGCCACAGGGAAACCTTGCCCCAGGGGCGGGTGTGGCGACCGAACAGGAGGTGGGGTGGGAGGCAGGGCTAAAAGTTCCCACTTCAGACTCAGGGGAGACAATTCTGCTCTTACTGATTTTACAAGGACTCCCCCATAAGATTTTATTTATAAAGGCATTGGCATATAAATAAATAACAAGACAAGAAGAGGGAGCATTTGAAAACCACTTTCTCACACAGCGCCTCTGTCAGAGCCTACCCCTTCGTCCAGTCTTCAGCATGGTGGTGAGATACTCACATCCATGATGAAAGCACTTGTCAGAACACAGGAAACAAAGCAAAGCTCCTATGGCCTACTGACCCCCTGATTCCAGAACTGGTAGGAAGAGGAGCAGCAGGAGGGAAAAGGGTCAGGATCCGAACTGGCAGGTAGGGCCCAGGAGTAAAGCAGGGATAATATTCAGAAGGTGTGCGCAAGAGTTTTTGCAGAACATATACACACTGTGGGGAAAAAGTCTACAAAGAAAAAGTATTATCTCCATATAATTCATTTACATTATTTTCATACAAGTCATTATGTTACCTACCCCCAGCACTGCTGGATAACCCAGAGTGATTCCTTGGAAAGAGAAGAATCAACATTGACTTTTATTCTCTCTCTTCTCCTGGGTTGGGCCCATCAAGGCCAGAACAGAGTGTGGAGTACAGGAATGGCCATCCTTCAAGTCCAAGGGGTCAGGGGCCTGGCCTGGCTCCTCCAGTCACTACAGGAGGGGTGTCTCTGTTTGGAAAGCCAGCACCAGCACCCAGAACACAGGCGTCCAGAGAGACAGACAGGCACTGCTGGCCACCATCTGGCTGTGGTGGGAATGCCCATGGCGAGGGAGCTGCAGCTCGGCAGAGATGTGCCTATCCAGAACGGGGCCCTGGAGCTGTGGGACCTCAGCGCTAGGAGGGAAAGAAAGGAAACAGAGGCTCAGAGCACAGCTGGAGCCAATGGATAATCCAAGGCCCCCAAATGCCCACACAGCTTCTTTCCATCTCCCTTCTTTAAAGACGAGAATGGATCTTAGTATGTTAATGGGCTGCCTGTGTCTCTGTCCCTCGATACTACTAACCAAGTAACAAAACCACAACAAAACCAAGTAACACAGGTGCTAAGACTAGCACATTGGACAACTCTCCCTTGGCTACATGATTCTTGGTTCAAAGATTATTAAAACTCTAGGTGTCAGAAGGCCCAACTCAGATTTGCTCATCATTAGCCTTTGGGCGATCTCAGGCAGGGCCCCTCCTCACTGACCACACACAGGCGCACATCCAAGCCATGAGGTATCCTCCTTGGATCTCTGGCATCCTCCTCGGGTCTCTGGCTCTCTCCCCTACCCCAGCTCATATCTCGTGTGAACATCATGCAGACATCCCAGGTCAAGACAGTAGGGGCTCAAGATCTCAGGCCCACCCAGACCTTTCAGCCCAGCTCTGGGGTGAAGGGCCCAACTCCAGGCCACCTTAAAAGGAAATAACCCAAACTAAAAAGTCCTGAACAGATCAATTCATTCCTCCACCAATGAAGGATGGTTGGAGAGCCACCCTTGGCCACGTGGAACATGGACACCGACAGGACCCCTGCTCTCCAGGTCCCATTTGGTTGCTAGCTTCCATCCATTTAAAAATGCCAATCCCACAGCACATTGGATGCCTGCTTCGAACCTTTCAGCGGCTCCTCACTTCCTCAGGCATGAGACGTTCTGTCACCCTCCTCCATCTCCTGTCTGGACCCAGCCAACCCCACCCCACCTGACCCCCCAGGCTCCAACCATAATTATTGCATCTTGGTTTCTTCAACATGCTCACTCTCTCCAGGCTTTCCAACTGTTCCCTTTGCTTGGAACTCCTTCCCCTCCTTGCTCAGCTGTTTATTCATTCAATGACATTTATCATCAAGCACCTGTACAGGTACTGGATCCCTGAATCTCCTGATCCACACTCAAAAGTTCTGGTCATTGGGCTCCACTTTGTCAAGCTTCTACTCAGCATCAGCCAAAAGGTCCCTTCACTCCAGGAGGCCTTTCCTGACCACTCTCCCAAACCTAAATAGTAACTTCCAACACACACAAGCACATTCCCACAGCACCCTTTGCAGATGTCAAAATCTGGCTTTCTCCCTAGAATGCAAACTCCATGAAGGAAGAGGGCTAATGCCCATCTGGTTTACTTCAATGCCACAGCACCCAACACAACAGCAGGCGCACAGGAGGAACTCAATACATTTGGGTTGAATCAAACTGGACCCTGGATCCCAGGCCTCTCTGGTGTAGTTCTTCCAAAAGCCTTATGCCCTGCAGACCAGGCTGAGTCACCACCTTTGACTCCTCTATCCACTTCTGATCCACCTCCTAAGCATCTTCAGAGAGTGCATTCTGTGGTCACCATGCTCTCTGTAAAATGTGGGGGCTGAACAAGCCTGTTCTCTGTTGCTTCCGGCTCTGCAAAACTATGAAATCTTCCCTAAGCTGCAGTGGAGAAAGGACTAGCAAATCAAAACACACCCATGCGTGCCCACCACCGCCACCCCCCCCTTCGTTCTTTAACAAAGATAACAATGCCCTTACTCTGGCTCGAAGCAACTACCTTTAATTACTGGGTTCATCGCAATCACAGTGGACAGAAGACCAGTGCCCAAGGCTCTGAGCAACAGGAAAGGCTGGTCCACGAGGAGGGCTGCTCATCCCCACCAGGGCCTTGAACCTCCCCGTCTTAAGCAAGGTGACAGGATATTCCTGGGCTGCTCCCCACTGATACTCCGGGTGGGGAGGATGGATGCCGGAGATGGGCTCCTGGCCGGCCCCACCCGGCCCAAACCACCGCCTCACCTCTCCTCCAGTCGGACCCACAGATCGCTGAACTGCCGGAGCCGCTGCTTTCGGTGTGGCCGCTGCCGCCTCCGTTTTTTCCGAAACTTCCCCTCCGCTGCGACTCCCAGGTGGGCACTGCCGGGCGGGGACACGTGGGGAGGCCACAGCGAGCGCACCGCGGACCCAGCTTCCGGTACCCGCGCTTCCGCAGCGGGCACTTCCGGAGCAAAGATGGCAGAGGAGGCGGGTCCGGACGAGGGACTTTTACTCTTCTCTCTGTGAACAGGGGTGGAGGGAAGATGGATTGGAAGGAGGGTCACACGCCCTCAGGGCTCAGGGACTTAGAAGGGGCAGATAAGGTGACAGTTCAAGCTGGCTAGGGAGCGTTATCCAAGCCACCTCCAGAATCGATCACTTTGGCGCCTTAATTTCTCCCTCATATACCGTTGTAGTAGTCGTTCCAAATCCCCCGGCCCTGGGGAGGAAATAGAAGATTTCTTTTTAATTGCATATAATTACTGCCCTTCCCTAACAATGGGTCACAGCTATGTAGAAAGTCGCTGAAGACTACCGCATTGAAAGTGACATTTAAAAAAAAAATGTTTAAATGCCATTTACTTAGAACTGAAGGAGCCCTTAATCATGTTAACCCCTCCTTTACCCTGGTAAGGGCTCTACTCAGAAAGAGGCTGTGGCAGCCGCATCCCCCCACGCAAATGACTGCTAGTGTTCACAGTGTTCTAACCACCTTAACCCAGGTCCTACCAGAAGCCATCTTTCCCAAAGGGAATATGTTTTTCCAAACTGATGAGAAACTCAAACTTGTTTCTAGTTTTTCCCTAAAGGTGACTCTAGTCTCTCCCCATCCCCACCACCACCTCCACCACCCCACCCAAAAAATCTCTTCCAGAGAGGAAATAAGCCATGAGAAGGACCTAATTTCTTGCTACAACAGGACTTTCATCAAGAGTTTAGTTGGGGTTGAGGAGGGCAGTAAGAGAAGAATCGACTCGCTCGTTCTGCCCTGATTCGGCCTTGATGAACAGCTCACCTGCCAGAAGCAGGGCTCAATTCTGACCCATGACTAGACAGAGCCTGGGTGGTCAATTAATATTCATGGCCCTGTGTGAGGAAGGCAGGTGGTATATGAGATAAAAAATGAAAATGGGAAAGACTCAGGTTGGAAAAAAAGGTAAAAGAAGGGAATTCATTCTTCTAGTGGCAAAGAAAGAAAAAAGACGCCTGTTCTGAACCTGAGGCTGGGAACCCCTGCAACACACAGTCACAGTTAAAAGGCCCCTGGAGGACAGGACGTGCCAGATTCATCACTGATCCAGATCCCAGCACAATGCCTGACATCTAGGTGTGACACCACTTAGATGAACCTCTTCATTATACCAACAAAGTAATGGGAGCCTAGAGAGGGAAAGTGCTCCGCCTAAGGCTCTCCAAGATTCCAGTGGCCTCTTAGAGGATTCAGGAACAGATGGGCAGCAGCCCCCAGGCCCAGGCCCCTGTTCCAGCAGGGATTACATCTATGTCATCCTTGACCTCCATATAACCCAAACAGGCCCTGGTACACCGTAGCATTCACAAAAGTCTGTTGCAAACAGCATGGACTCAAATTCACTCAGCTCTTATGGCTTCAAGCGGTGGATCCTCACAGAGGGGCAATTCACAGCTGTGGTTCTGTTCAACTCACAAGAGACACAAGAAGACCTCAGCTCACTTACTGCAGGTGGGCAAGGCCAAAGCTTGAGAACCAAGTTAATTACCCTTGGTGGCTGGGGGAGAGGCAGGGGGAGGTCATTAATCCAGAAGAAATTAATTTTACTTCTCCTGATTTTTGTCTTTCTCATATTTCACAGCTGAGATGTCCTGGAGAATCATAACACCCACTTTACAATTTAAAAAACTGAGGACCAGGAAAATAAACTTCTTTGCCTTAGGTCCCAACAAGGATTCAGTGCCATTTTCAAATAACATTCATCAAGATTTTTTTTCTCCAGTTTATAAAGCTAACTTATTTTCACTATAAAAAAATATGGAGGATATAGAGTAGTGTCACTACTACCTCCAGAGAAAGATCCTACAGACAAAGGCTCATAGGCTTAAGGGACCCAGGGCAGTAGAGGTGACTGCTTCTTTGCCAGGAACAGAAAATCCCCACTGTTGAACACAGGTTAACTCATCCCAGAGCTTCTGGGCTAGCTTGAGCATCCCATTCCAGGTTGAGGTTCTAGGATATCATGTTTCCTTCCATCTGAATTCCCAAAGTTCAGTGAAACCTCTAGTTCCTTATGAAACCTAGATCCATGGTCATTTTGGCCACAATATGGGACTCTTGTGCTTGAGAGATTGCTTGTCCCCTGCCAGCATTTCACACAATCTACTCATGTCGTGGAAGTCTCCAGAAAAGACACACCCTGTTGACATGGTATCTCTCCCGTGCACCCACCGGAGGACATGTGGTACCCAGAAAGGAGCCCAGGTTTGGAAACTAGAACATGATAATTAGACTTTCTGAGCCTCTGCTGCTTCTATAAAGTTGATCTACCTCACCCGGTTGCTGTGAGGATTGAAACTACCCACGCACCATGTTTCACACAGGGCTGAGCACACAGTGTGCACTCCATGCGAATGCCCCTTTCCTCCAGTCCCACTACTTGGGGATGAGTGACACTGCATGTACCCCAGCAAAACTGACCAGGACCCGGGAGCGCCCCCACTGTGCAGCCAAAGGACATTCACCAGATCCCTTTGTGTGCAGTGGGCAGAATAATGACCCCCAGTGATCCCTGTGTGCTAATCCCCGAACATGTGAATACTATTGTTTGTTACCTTTCCTGATAAAAGGGATTTTGTGGGTGTGACATAGGACCTTGAGATGGGAGATTACCCCAGGCTACCTGGGTGGGCCCAATCTAATAACATGGTTCCTTAAAGCCAGAAAACTTTCCTGTAGCCATGGGAGATGCAACTGTAGAAGAATGGTCAGAGAAATGCAGTCACTGTGAAGTGACCTTGAAGATGGAAGGAGGGATCACAAACCTCTATACTCTGGAACAGGCAAGTAAACCTGTTCTTCCCTCGAGGCCCTAGAGGAGAACGCAGCCCCATGAACACCGTGGTTTCAGCCCACTGACACACATGTCAGACTTCTGATCTACAGAACTGTAACATAATCACCAGTGCTTGAGGGCAGAGTGTATGGTAATGTGTTATGGCAGCAAAAAACCCCCACAAAACCCTAATCCAGCAACCATTATCCTGGGAAGAGGTGTGGGGGTGGGGAACGCGTTAAACACTTGGGATCAGGCCGGCAGGACCCCTGTCCCCCCTCTTTGCTGCCCATGGAAGGGCAGTTTCACAGCCAGGGCCTTGCCTGTGTATTCCGGCCTGCTGAATACAGGAGGGTAGTGGCTGCCAACTGCCCTCCACTCACTGTCCACCTAACGGAGCTACCCCAAGTCCCCAGGGGCTGGGTGAGCTAGGTCACCAGTTGGAAGGCCTCCTGCCCCCACCCACAGCCTGCCGCACATCCAAGTTCCATCTCATCCCTCAGGGGCTATCACCCGGCTGCTAAGGAGGGGGAAAAGGAAGCAGGTGTCTCCACAGCCACTACGCTGGCCCTTGCCAACACCTTCACTGTGGGCATTTCCCCCACTCTGGGCCCTTATCCCCTCACCCCTTCTTCTCCCTAACTGGAGCTCCTTTCCAGGATTCACGCTCCCCCGTGGCCTCCCCTAGAGCACTGCTCACCTCTAAAACCTCGTAGACACCACCCTAATGGAGCACATATTGTGTGCCAGATGCCCGGATAGCTACTGCAGAAGCACATATCAAAGTGCCGGGGCCAGCGCGAGGGCGGGGGGAGAACCCAGGCTGGAGCACAGAAGGATGTGGGGCATTTGCGCTGGATCTCAGATTCTGAAAGAATTAGGGGCAGGGACGGCAAAGGAATCTCTGGCAGAGGAAGGTGCTCGAACAAAGACAAAGGATCTGGGAAGTAAGAAGTGGAAGAAGAAAGGGCAGAAAGAAAAGGGATGTGCAGGCAGAGGAGTCTGAACTGTACCTGGTTCTGATTAGCTGTGTGATCTTTCCATTTCTCCATCAGTAAAGGAGAAGAAACACCACCCCACAGGCTGGCTTTGAGGATTAACTGACGGTCCGTGTGAGCCTGGCTGCCACCTGACAATCCGTCAATAAATATTTTTTCCTCTCCTGGAAATGTGAGCAGTCCAGCTGGACGTCAGCACCGGTTCTCAGCCCTCATTGGGCACCAGAATCATGGAGAAGTTTTTTAAACATTGATTCCTGACCTCACAAGCAGGTATTAGGAGGTTAGAGACAGAAGTAGGAAGGCTGAGCATAACCATCAACACACGTGCACACGCGCACACATGTATGTACACACATGTACGCACATATACATACCTGTGCACACACATACACTCATGTACATACACACATGTACATGGATGCATATGTACACTCCAGAAAGGTCATCTCTAGCACCCTCAAGGACTGTGTGCCAAATACCCACCCAGTCAGCCTGGGGCGGGAACTGAAAAGGGACAAAGCACCTACTTTCCAGAAGCATACAGTTCCCCTGAAACAAGCTGAGAACCGCTTAGGGCCGGGTTCTCCCTCCAGGGCTCAAGGAGAACAGGAGAGAAAGAAAAATCAAGACCTGGGCAGTGAGCAGAGCTGAAGGAGGGGCAGGATTTTTCTCATCAGGGGGAGGTGGATGGCCGCGACCCAGACAGAAGGTTTTCTTTTCTGGTTTTTTTTTTAATTTTTTTTTTTTACTGCTTTATTTCTGAGAGAGAGAGAGAGAGAGAGACAGCGTGAGCAGGGAGGGTCAGAGAGAGAGGGAGACACAGAATCTGAAACAGGCTCCAGGCTCTGAGCTGGCAGTCAGCACAGAGCCCGACGCAGGGCTCGAACCTACAAACAGTGAGATCATGACCTCAGCTGAAGTCGGACACTTAACCTACTGAGCCACCCAGGTGCCCCAGACAGGTTTTCTGATGCAGGAAGCACACCTGTGCTGGGGTCTGGGTACCAAGAAACCAGCATGAAGAAACTGGACTTTGGGAGAGAACAGTAAGAAACCACCGAAGGCTTCTGAGGAAGGGACACTTGCAAGATTTAGTCCCACAGAGAGCGAAGAATGGACCAGCGAGAGAGAGCCATGAAAAGGAGAGGAGCAAACCCAAGAGGAGAGGTTTTGATGGAGGAAGCCAGAGGTGTGATGAAGGTGAGAAGTGAGTAGTCTCAGGGGTGCCTGGGTGGCTTAGTCGGTTAAGCGTCCGACTTTCGCTTAGGTCATGATCTCGCGGTTCGTGGGTTCGAGCCCCGCGTCGGGCTCTGTGCTGACTGCCGGCTCAGAGCCTGGAGCCTGTNTCGGGCTCTGTGCTGACTGCCGGCTCAGAGCCTGGAGCCTGTTTCAGAGTCTGTGACTCCCTCTCTCTCTGACCCTCCCCTGCTCACACTCTCTCTCTCTCTCTCTCTCTCCTAGAAATAAATAAAACATTAAAAAAAAAAAGAAGTGAGTAGTCTCAGGTGAGGGCTTTTAGAGAGTTTAAGCGCTATTTGAAGAACCATTATTACTGACGCACTGGCTGTGGTGCATGAGGAGAGGTGGGGGTAAGACAGCCCACGATGTACCCACGATTGTCCGCTAGGAGGCGGTCGGGGAGAATCCCGGCTCCCGGGTGGGAACTGGACTGCTAGGAAGGCCGCTCTGGGGTGAGGGGCTGGGGAGAGGCCCCGGCTCGAAACAACAAGAGCCGAAGGTGGGCGTTCTGAGGAGAAAGAAGGCCCCTGGGGAGGGGCAGCCATCAAGCCGCCACCACAGCTGATGCCCTCTATACCCCTCGGCAGAGGGTCGGGGCATTCGTCTCACTACCGCTGCGGTCTCTGCCAGGAGGGGGCGCTGGTGACCGCGGTCGGGAGGGAGCGGGGCGAGAAAAGGTGTGTAAGGGGCCGAATACTCAGGTTGGAGCCTCCACAGCCAGTTCCTCGGAATGTGACTGCATTCGTAGGCAGCGCCTTTCCTTAGGAGAGGAAATTCAAATACACAGAGTCACTAGGATTGTGTGCGCACAGAGGCAGGCCGTGGGGGCCAGGGAGAGGGCGGACTCCTGCAAGCCCGACAGAGGCCTTGGGGAAAACCAAACCTTCCCACACCTTGATTTTGGACTTCTGGCCTCCAGAACTGAAAGAAAATACATTTCTGCTGTTCAAGTGCCCAGTCTGTGGCATTTTGTTACAGCAGCCCAGGCGGACTAGTTCAGAGGGGAGGGGAGCACAGAGCCATCAAAATGAGAAATAAACAGACCTGGGGGGAGAAACAGCTCAGGGAAAGAGACGCCTTTGCTCCTGTCCCAAGAAGGGTCTCACGGGCACGCCCTGCGCCTCTAGCCCCTCTGACCTTACCTTATAACTGACTCCACCATCTGCCCGCCCTGAACCTTCCCAAGTGCCCACTGGAAAGGCACTGAGCATTAAGCCTAATGACCCCTCCTGGGGCCCCCAGGACCACGGAGCAATCTCCTCTTCGCCTCCTTCTCTGCCCCAAGGCTGCTGAGGAAAAGGCCAGTATGGCCTCTGTTGCCCAAAGTGCCCGGCCAGGCAACCCACTTCTGACACAGCCCCGGCCACAACAGGATGCCAGCAGAGCCGGGTGCCAAGGGTCCCTTTAGCGGCCAGACAGGGAAGGTGGTAATAGCCGTGCTGGGGGCCTCTGGAGCCCCTCACGGTGCGTCACCCACCCTGGTGCCGGGGCAGCCCGGTGGGGGTTTCGGCTCTGCTAGCTGCTCCCCAACCAGGATAGAAGCACAGGAAGGTTACTTGTTGATGGGTCGTCCAGCAGGGGCGTGTTCTACCTCATAGCCTTCGCGCCGCAAGACATCAAGCACTGTATTGTTGCCCATGAAATGACCTGCAGTAAGAAAAACGATCAGAAACACGGCAGCTCCCATGACTACTAAACATACCCCCAGACACGCACCCCAGAACAAAGAAATAACCCTGCCAACCCTCCATCCCTTCCGTCCAGCCCAGTAGAGTTCCAAAGAGCTTCTGCAGTCAGGCCTCTCGGCCGCACTCCAGGCAGGCAGGCTGGGAGGGACAAGCAGTGTTTCAGAGATGAGGACACAGAGAATCAGAAGGGTGGGGTGAGCTGCCCACAGTCACACAGCAAGGGGAGAGCCTAGACACCAGATTCCAGCCTTCTGGATCTGAATGCAGTGTTAACAGTCCCGACCATTCTCGTCATTTACACAATCCAAAAAAAAATTTTTTAATGTTTTATCTATTTCTAAGAGAGAGAGAGAGACAGTGTGAGCAGGGGAAGGTCAGAGAGAGAGGGAGACACAGAATCTGAAACAGCCTCCAGGCTCTGAGCTGGCTGTCAGCACATTGCCCGACCACCTCTGAGACCTGAGCCCCCTTCTGTCTCACAAATAATTATACATGCGCAGTAAAAACAAAAACGAAAACAAAAAAACAAAAAAACACCTCTCCATTTAGCAGAAGCCACCATAATTGGAAACCTCAATCTGCATTTTATTTCACTTCCTCCCTTTTAATAAAAAACAAAGATCAACCAGGTAAGCTTACAATGACACCTTATACATTCTCAAGGCCAGGAGCAGATCTTGGGATCAACCTTCTTTCCATTCAGGTTTTGATGCCTTCTGATGCTCAGAACAGACATGACGGTCCGGACTCATAATGTCCCTCTCTGTGACAGCATATGGCACTTTAATGTCCTAAATGCTGATTAAATTGCAGCACTCCATCCTGTGGTTGAGCAGAACCTTAGAGGTATCCTTCTTATCTGCACTTTAAACTGGAAAACTGAGGTAAAACAGGTCCAGGCTTCACATGCTAAGCAGCCGCAGAACAGAATCTAAAACCCAGGCCGTTTGGCTCCAGGGTTTATACAAGCTTGACATGTCAATACTCAATAACCAGAGACCGGACAGCACATTAAGGTACATCCAAGCTTCTGGACAGACAACGGGCAGTCTGTAGATGTCTCCTGTGTCCTGTTCCCACAGCTCTAGGAAGCAGTGTGAACCTGGATCAGCCTCTGAGAGCCTGGGGAGTCCGAGGTGACTGGCGGAAGGTACTGGGCTCTACTACCTTTTTGGGTTTGACTGCAGAGTCTATGACCGCAAGCTTGCTGAGGGGAACTGGCTCAGATGAAAGGGGTGTTGGCAAGGCCCTGATTAGCCCTGGTACACAAGTGCAATAAACTCATGCACAGGCTTTGCCTGGACTCGGGGTGTGGGGATAGGCTACTGAGCTTGCAGAGTGCCGTGGCGACCCTCCCCCCCCGCCTGCTCCCCAGCCAGTACCCAGCACACACAGCAGGGAGTGATCACAAAAGCAAAGTAGCCAACAGTCATATTACCAGGGACAATGCTTTACCCATCATTTGACACCCCCAACCCCCGCCCCTGCCAACAGCCCTATAAGGTGGGCGTATTATTATCTCCATTTTACAGGTAAGTGGGAGGCACCGAGAGATGAAGCAGATTGCGTCTCAAACCCAGGTGGTCTGGCTCCAGAGTCCACCCTCTCAAGTGATTCAGAATAAAAACAGTATCTGTCAAGTGAACGAACTGCCCCTATTACCAGTGCTTTCTCAGAGTGGAACCAACCTATTCTGTCTGACCGACTTGTCAAACTTATTTGATTTTAAACCCTGGAGCTTTTAATTTTTGTTTATCCTCACTTTGCAACTAAAAGGTTGTTAACCACAGACTTTTTTAAAATGTTTAACCATTAAGGCTAAGTGTCGAGAGTGATTCTTATGGTTCCCTCTGGTCAACAGAGCCTTCAGAAGGCACGAGATGAAATGGATTCCTGCAGCGGAGGAAGCAGCGCCAGGAAGAGAACGTGGAACTGGCAGCTGTCCAGGGCACCCCTGACCCCCAAAGTGCCCAGCTGTGAGGCCTCTGCCCAGCGCTGCGGCAATGATCAGCTGTGCCCTGAGAATCAGGCAAGTGCAGGTGCCGCATCTCACCTGGGCCATCTGTCCAGCACAGTCCCCACCTGGAGGGCCTGCCCTCCCAGCTGCTCAGATCCACCTGCCAACTGGCTGCCAGCCAACCCGCTTCCCAGCCTCACGCCACACGGTAGGCCACCAACATCTCAAAGCGTCCACCCTTCCCCTGCACCCAGTGCCCCACTATCCCGCCACTGGACGTCAGGGATGCTTTTGAGAGATCAACTGAGTCTCACAGGAGTGGAAAACAAAAGCCCACACTCAGGGGCTGGCACCTTCAATCCTGGAGGACCCGGCACAGCCGCTGGGACCAAGCTACCAGCTCTATGTCCTAACAGAGGGCCACCATCACCCCTACCAGGTGCCGCGGAAGGCTTCTGGGACCCGATCCCCGTCGGGGTGCTGCAGGCCGACAGCTTGGCCATACAGGCCAGGCATGGGCACCGTGAAGCACAGCACTGCGCACAATCCAAAGAGGGAACACGAGACTTGGAGAAGAGGAAAACCACTCACACAACCGCAGGAACCAAGCACCAAAGACAGAAACTATTCATTTCTGAACAAGATGTAGGAGCCCAACAACAAGTTTTTTTCCACAACTATATTTGACTATAACTGACATAACATAAAAATCATCCTTTTTTAAAAGCTTATTTTCTTTAGTGATCTCTACACCCAACGTGGGGCTCAAACTCACAACCCTGAGATCAAGAGTCACATGCTCTGCGGACTGAGCCAGCCAGGCACCCCTAAAATTCATCCTATTACAGTGCACAATTCAATCACTTGGGGAATATTTGCAAAGTTGTGCCACCATCACCACTATCTACTTTTCAAGGATTTTCATCAGTTGAGATTTTGATAACAATTATACATTGAATGTCTAGCTCAACTGGGGAGAATATTGTCATTTTAATACCATTCAAGCCTTCCAATTCATGACCATGAGATGTCTTCTTTAAGTCCCTCTGATGATGTTTTTAGTTTTCATGGTGTATCTTGATAAATTTACTACTAAGTATATTTTTTACGCTTTTAAATGGAACTAGTTTCTTAGTTTCATTTTCAAAGTATTCATTGTTTGTGTATGGAAACACATTGGATTTTTGTGTACTGATCTTGTATCCTGCCTCCTTGCAACCTGGGGTGTTTTTTTTTTTTTAATGTTTTATTTATTTCTGAGAGAGAGAGACAGAGACAGCATGAGCAGGGGAGGGTCAGAGAGAGAGGGAGACAGAACCCCAAGACAGTCTCCAGGCTCTGAGCTAACTGTCAGCACAGAGCCCGATGCGGGGGCTTGAACCTACGAACCATGAGATCATGACCTGAGCCAAGGTCGGACATTCAACCGACTGAGCCACCCAGGCACCCTGTAACCTGGGTTTTTAGTTCTAAGAGTCTTTGGGTGGATTACCTAGGATTTTCCATACACAAGACCATGTCATCTGAGAAAAGAGATAGTTTTACTTCCTCTTTTCCAATTTGAATGTCTTTTATTCCTTTTCCTAACTTTGCTGGCTAGAACCTTCACACGTTGTTGAAGAGAAGTGAGGAGAGCAGCCACCTTTGCCATGTTCCTCATCTTAGGAGGAAAGCATTCCATCTTTCACCATTTCATATGTTAATGTGGGGTCTTCACAGCGACCCTTTAACAGGCTGTGTTAGAAGGGAGTTCCCTTCTAGCAGGGGTTTGATGAGTATGTTTATCATGAAAAGAATGTTGTACTTTATTGATGGCTTTTTCTCTGTCTATTGAGAGCATCATGTGGTGTCAGCCCTTGAGTCTACTAATACGGGGGATTACATTAATTGATTTTCAGATGTTGTGGTATGGTCCCCCAAAATACATCTGCATCCTAATCCCTGGAACCTGTGAACGTTATATGGCCCCCCCAAAAAATGCAGATGTAATTAAACTAAGGATCTTGAAATTAGGTGATTATACTTGACCTCTCACTCTGCCATTCCAGAAATGCTCATCTCCAACCCCCACCCCACCCCATTTTACCAGTAAAAAAAACTGAGGGAGGTGACTTGCCTAAGTTTATGAAGCTAGTGAAAGAACTGAAAGGAGAAAGCCAAGGCCAGCAAGTGCTCCTTCTGCACACTACCCAGGCTCTGGCATTTCATTTTCTTCCTTCCTTCCTTCCTTCCTTCCTTTCTCTCTCTCTCTCTCTCTCTCTCTCTCTCTCTCTCTCTCTCTCTCTCTCTTTTTCATTTATTTATTGAGAGAGAAAGAGAGCACATGCACATGAGCTGGGAAGGGGCAGAGAGACAGAATCCCAAGCAGGCTCTGTGCTGTCAGCACAGAGCCCGACAAGGGGCTCAAACTCATGAATGTGAGATCATGACTGAAGCCAAAACTCAGAGTCAGATGCTTAACCCACTGAACCACCCAGGCACCCCAAGTCTGTTGTCACTTCTGTATTTAATTCTGGAGGGTGCAAAGCTGTGCTAGAACGACTCAAGAAGAGGAGATAATTTATTTCAAAAGTCCACAAAAGGAAATCATTCTCCCAGTCTGCTTCCAGGTACACTGTTAATAGTTGGTAATAGCTGATGTATCCTCCCCAGGTCTCAGAGTCAGAGAGGAGAGAGAAGACAAGATACATTTTAGGGAAAGTTAAAAAAATGAAGGGTACCAGAAAGAAGTTGGGATTAAGTACCAAACTGGGAAGAGAGAGAAAGTCCTTCCCAGCTCCCAGGGGAGTGTGTCTTGAACACCAGGCGGAGAGAGAGCTATGGTGAAATCACAGGTACCAGCCCCTGAAGCAAAGTGTCCACAGTGCTGGATACTCAGGCATCAGCTGGAGCCATTTCGCAAGTGAAATAAGTCAAAGAAGGGGCCACCCATCTCACCTCCTACCGGCAGCCCACCTCCGCGGTCCCTTCCCTTCGTGGGAGGAGCCGCGGAGCCCAGCCTCCCAGCAGAGGTAACCAACCACTCACCAGCCCCAAAGGCAAAGAAAAAGCCTTTGTCCGGAAACTCTTCCAAAAGGGCCTTCACCCGCTTCCCCATTCTCTCATTCCGTTTGTAGATGAGCTCCTGGCGGAAGTAGCTGTCGATCTCCTGGGCTGTGATGCGCTCCTGCGGCGGCAGCGTGGTGTTAATGAAATTGGGAACCTCCGCCAAAAGAAATAGAAAAAGCCAATTAGGGGCAACAGAGTCACTAACCAAGTTGCTTCATCTGAGCCCTAAATCACCCAGCCTAGAAGGTCAAGCATGGCAGGGGAAGGGCAAGATGGACACACCACTCTTGGGGTCTCCCACCAACTACTTTTTCAAGCTGTGATATCAGTCTCTGTAACCCAAGTGAAAACACAGCCGAGGAAGTGCGCTGAAAGTACTCTTGGGCTATTTTAAACAGTACTTCTGTTCTATTCAAATGAGAATGCTTGATGCCATGTGTTTATACCAGAGACCGTATCTTTGTCTAACACATCCATCGTTTTTACTTGTTTGACTCACACATGCTTTCTCTATGAAACTAATTTTACATAATTACATATTTTAGAATCAATAATTATGACTCTAGGACCGAATACGTGGCATGTCTATAACCATTCACCTGTCTTCTAAATGCCACACAATTTTAATTTTAATTATTTCTCCAATTCCCATGTCTCCCTCTTGCTTTCTTCAATGTTCTTTGCCCTCCTGGCAAATATTTCACCTGGCAAATATTTCATCGGTGCACATGTGAGCCAATTTCAGTATTTTGGCTAACAACAGGGGCTGTCAAGGTGATACACCGCATTCCCTCCCCACCCCGTCTGGGTCCCCTCCTCCTGGGCGAGTGCTCTCTCCTCTCCCTAGGGATTTAATGAGGTTAACCATTACTTCACTCAAATATAAAACAATATCTACCCTGGCTGCTTCTCCCATGTGCAGTAGCCTCTCAAAGACCTTCCGGAAGTCTTCACCCTCTAATGTCACCATCTGTTTCCACTTCATGGACAACAGACTCCCTTTAGCCATTTCCTTGAAATGATACTTTTTTCATTTTCAAATCCAAAGCCTACATCTTCTCCTTTATCATCTTTTTAAAAATCATGTCATTTATGTGAGATCCTTCTCTCTGTTTCCCCAAGTCCCTTCTCTTCAGCAGAATGCTTCCTTTGTACCAGCCCTTCCCCACGGGCAGACCTCCCACTGCTAAATGCCAAACGTGACCTAGGACCTACACCCCTGGGCCTGACCAGCCTGGCCCCCCTGGCACCGATGCAGGTACATTCCCAACACCCCATATCATAGGCGAGGTCTTGTGAGCAGGTAGGAAAGCATGAAGGAGCCACAGGAAAGGGATGCATAAGAAATCTGTTCCTGACTGCCACCAGCCTTACCGTTTGCCAAAAAGTTCCAAATCCACCCCCCATACATGTTGGCTTTTTTCTGCCACTTCAAATTCTAATTTCCCAATCTATCTCGACTTCTCTCCCTGCTTCCCCTACACCCACCAAGAATTTTCATCACCCTCAACTGTACTACTCTTTCTTCAGGTACTTCTTGTTTTCCCCTTCCTCTTGCTTGCTTTCCCTTGGTTTAAGTTCCTCCAGCTCCAGACTCTCCGAAAGTTCATTGTATCTTCTGACCCTTGTGGGGCTGATGCTGGATCCAGCCCCTATTGATCCTCTCCCCAAGCGGCCATTCCTTTTTCACCTCTTCCATTCGCTCACGTTTCCTTCGGGTCCCCAGATCCAACAGACCCCAGCATCACTCACAGCCCCCTATGGCACGAGGACACTGGTCCTGGTGGTGGAGACAATGCACGCCCCATCTCAGAAACTCAGCTGCCATTGCACCGCCCCGTGGCCTTGGTGGAGGGAGGGGAGGAAGCCACAGTCGGTCCCGTGGGAAGCTTGTTGATAAAAGACTAACAAATACCCCGCCATAGGGAGGCTGGGCTCCTCTGAGCTTCCTTCCCCTTGACGGACCATAGGTAATACCTATCCCGTGTGTCACTCACTGCACCAGTCCCGTCATGAACACATCCAAACTCATCATGCTTACGTGTTCCTAGAAGCTACTGCAAGCTTCAGCCTAAGTTCTCTTCCATCATTTCCCAGAAGGGCTGCCTAAGTCAGCCAGGGGCTTTCAGACTCAGATCCCTTTCCTGCTCAGGAGGCAGCTTCGTGTTCTCTCTTGCCCAGGCCTTGAGGCCTGCTGCTGGATCCCCTGAAGCTTTGTCCTTTGCTTGGGATCCTGGGATTAACTCTCATCAACGCCCCTCCATTCTCACATATCATAAAGAATGGCTCTGTTAGCCGCAGCATCTCATTCAACATCTAAACCTGCCCAATTTTATTTTTAGAGCCCTTTATGACCTCAATCCTTTGTTCATGGAAGATTCAGGTGTCAGCAGGTAATGGCTTTACTCTTGTGTTTAAATGCACACTGAGCTGGGCAGAGGACAAGGGCTCTCACCTGGGAGCTGTCATGGCTGAAGATGACGGAGCTGAGGTCCCCACAGTTATAGTGTTTGATGAGATCCTCCGTAGTGTAAGGGATCTGAAGGCTGCCTGCTCGAAGGCTCTCCTGCTGCAGGAGGGTCTGGTTCAAAGCAAAGATGACCTAAGGGGAGAAAGTACAAGGGCCTTTTAAGATCACTGACACAGCAATCATTAGCGCCATCTTATTTCTTTTGTCCGTGGTCGACAATGACCTCACCTCTGAGTTTGTTGTATAAGAATATAGACGCTGCTGCTAAAAAAGGAAACACAAATCCCCAGATGGTGTCCAGAGAAAAGGAAGGCAGTCCTGCCCAAGTGGTCCCCTGTGGCTCATGCTGGGAGGAAGTACCTTAAGAGGGAGGGACACAGATGACCTGGAGCTATTCCATGAGAATCACCAAGAGGTAAAGAGACCAGAGAATGGCTACAGAGGAAGGTCTGAAGAAGCTGGAGAGGAAGGGCAGGAAGCAGCTGGAGACACACAAATAGACACGTACGAAAGGCATCACTCACATGAAGGACTGGACAGGAATATATACAGGACATGCACAAGTCTGTTCTAACTGTCAGTGTGGCATCTGCTGGCTAATGGAATCACTGGGTCGGCAGGATATTAATAAAGTTATGGTGAAAAAAGGGAGAAACGAGGGCTAAACAAAATCAAACAGTTGATCTGTACAAGTTTCCAGAGTCTGATACGCTAATGAGCACTGTGGTTCCTCCTGAAGGGAGGCTTCCCAAGTTTCTCTGAGGCACGCATCACAAGAGAGAGGTTCACGAGAACACCCTTTGGGAAAATCCAGAGCTGGGTTGGAGGGGAAGGTGGGACTCTGGCACCGGGTGGGACTGGAGCTGGCCATCCTGTATGAGGCTCCTGTCAGCACTGAAGATGCTGTGGCATTTTCTCTCCCATTCTCTCCAGGTATGGATGCAGACATATCACCTTCCACAGCTGCCCTTCCACGTGCTGCCCTGGGAATCCATGTACAGATACCACCTTGCTGGAATATTCCCTCGCCGTTTGCAGGAAGGCAGACAAGCAAGGTCTGCCTGAGCACTCTGACTGTGAGGTCTTCAGCAGGAAATTTTTGATTTTCTGGAGACAACCTATGACACATCTCAAGTCGGCAAATGACCCCTTCCTTTCTTCTGTCACACATTCTCCTCATTCTAAGTGGCAAAGAGGCTCTTGGTGAGTTCCTTCCCACAGGCCACTCCGGCTCGAGCCTACTGTATGCCCTCCTCCCATGGCCCCGTCTCCCTTGGTTACTCTAATATTGGCTGTCCCTGTCCTGAGGCCTTTGGGGCCAGGTCCTTCTTTGAAAAGTCCCCTCCTCCCCTCTTCTCTCAAAACACCCGCCTCCTCTCTGTTGGGCCTGGACTTTCTGGACCATGCCCTGTCCCCAGCCCTCTACTGGTGACATGAGCTGACCGAGAGGCAGATATACCCAGGTGTATGTCCACAAATTATGCTCTAAATGAGGAAATGCAGTCTTTCACAGGGATGAGCCCCTGGATTCTAAAGCCCCATAATTAGGACCTGTCCACCCCTCCCCCCCATTGCTAAATGACTTCATATTACCTGGAGGAACAGATCTTTGGAGAGGAGGAGGAGGAGCAGGATGCCAGGCCCCAGGCCAAGATCTCACACTTGCTATCTCAATCCAAACCAATTTCTCAACAAACACATACTGATGGATTTTGCCCTTCCCCTAAGGGCATTCAGGACAAGCCCAGGAATCGTTCCCAGCAGATCTTCCTCCAAGAGTTTCCATTGGTTTTGAAATGCTTTTTTTTAAAGGTGTTCTTGGTATTTGGAGAAGATTGAGCCAGGCATTCTAATGGACAGGCCGGTCCATTAGCAAAGTGGAGAAGACTGTGTGGCTCACACCTGTTTATTCAGTCCCTTCTCAATGTAGTCAAATGTCATTTACCCTAAAGATATTTTACCTGTTTATAACAGGCCTTGCTAGGATGTTTGTCTTTGCTTCTTATATTTATTTTTGATGATCAAACCCCATCCAACCAGGGGCAGGGCCATAGAGGCGCTGCTGGAAGTGCCCTCTTTGGGGAGAACCAGGGTGGCCCTCTGTGTCTGCCTTGCCAGCTGGAGGAGGCAACTCTCCCCCCGCCCCCCACCGGGTGCTCTGCAGGAAGGCTCCAGGGCCCCAGAGCAGGGGTCAGGGAGCACATGAGGGCTCCACAAAAATAGTACAAAGCTCCAAACTCACCCAACTAAAACCATGGTGGTCCAGACTCAGCTTGCTCAGACACCTACTCTGGCATCTCGAAAAAAGGCCCCATAGTCTGACAAGATTAATGACTACTGGTCATTCTTCTACAATTTACTCTCCTTGCTGTGCTTGGCAAAGTCTGAGCCAGTCTGACAAACTTGGAGTTTCAGAATGTGACTCACAGATTCGCAGATTCCTCAGAAACAACTGTATTTGGTTACACTGTCTCCCAAGATACCTTCCAAGAGGTTTGTCCTGATGGGGCTTGTCATTGACCTAGCCTCCTCGTGTTGCGGAATCACACCTGGCGCAGTTCTGGACAGCCAACAGGCCCACATACAGCAAGCAGCCTGCCCCGCTGAGAGCTGAGGCAGACAAGCAGGAAGGGAAGGCAGGGCAAAGGAGCAATTCAGAGGCCTGGCTGAATGGCCCAGGCCCTGCACGCTGCCCCCCTTGCCATCTCCCTAACCAACTCTCCGCCACGCACCACCTCCTCCTCTCCATCCAATTCCTTTCTTGGAGCCTCTGCTAACATTTATCCATGAGTTGTATTAGTTTCCTTGGGCCGCCATAACAAAACACCACAACCTGGGTGGCTTAAACCATAGAAACATATTGTCTCACAGTTCCAGAGGCCAGAAGTCCAAAATCAAGGCGCTAGCAAGACAATGTTCCCTCTGAAGGAATTAGGGAAGGATCTGTTCCAGATCTCTCTCCCAGCTTCTGGTCGTTCCTTGGCTGGTGGCTACATAACTCCAATTTCCATATGGCATACGCTCTGTGTATGTCTGTGCCCAAACTTCCCCTTTGTATTTTTGTTTTTATTATTTGTTGTTTTTTATTTTTTAAAGAGTAGCAGTATTTATTTATACATTCATTCATTCATTCATTCATTCATTCATTTTGAGAGAGAGAGAGCGGGTACAGAAACAGGGGAGGGCCAGAGAGAGAAGGATAGGGAGAATCTTAAGCATGCTGCATGGCCAGCATAGAGCCTGCTGGGGTCTTAATCTCATGACTGTGAGATCATGACCTGCTTGAGCCAAAATCAAGAGTGGGATGCTCCACGACTGAGCCACCCAGGCGTGTGCAAATTTCCCCTCTGTATAACGACACAGTCATATTGGATTACTGTCCGCCCCGATGACTTCATCTTAAACCATCTGCAAAGATCCCATTTCCAAATAAGGTCACATTTTCAGGTCCTGAGGGTTAGGACTTCAAGGAAAGTGTTTGGACACACAAGTTAAAACACGTGAGGCTCAGCTTACTCTTTTTTAACAGTTCATATGAATATGGTAAAAATTCTAAGCAGTACTAAGAAAAAGACCTCCCTCCTATTCCTCTACCCCAATCATCCTCCCTAAAAACAATTACTTCCAGTGTCTTGTGTATCTGTTCGTGGACAGTCTCTGTGTGAAAAGGCAATGGATAGACGACACATGATAGACAGATGTAGAGATACCTCCTCCGCTTTTTTCTTTATGTTCTTTTGGCCTTTAAGGATTTGAATAAATGCCTTTCCATGAATTAATACTGGAGCTATGCATTATAACTTAAGACAAGAGGATTATGGAATGAAAAGCCAGGGTTTGGCAAACACTGTTTTTGAAGAACAGGCAGCCTGAGTCTTCCTTATCCATAAGATAACATTAACGACTACAGAAAATCATAGAAAAGGACAAGGGAAATTTCTGACTCCAAGAAGGGACAAAATGCAAGTTTCCTACAGCCTTTCCAGTGAGAAAGAAGGCTGGATGCAAAAGCCCCGGAGGCATCCCAGATGTGCCCCCAGTGGCCCCAGTTCAAAGCTGTCCTAGTGATGTGGTCTGAAGCACTGGGGTTCAGAGCCCACGGCCAAGAAAGAATTCTTGAGACCTCTTCGGTCCAAAATGGTGGTTTTGTTAAAGCAGGGGGACAGGACCCAAGGGCAGAAAGAGCTGCACTGCAGTCGTGACAAGTGACTGATGATATATCTTCAGGTTGCAGGGCATCAGGGATGGTGGAAGTCTCTAAGGTATTTTGGAAACAAAGTTTCCAGGATCCTGAGGGGGCTAGCTATTTTTAGGAAAAGGTCATTTACTGCTGTCTAATAAAACCTCAGTCATGAGACTCTTCAGATGTACATCAATGGACCATAAGCTTGGAGTACCATTGCCAACCTATATCCTGGGGGGCTAGAGATAAGGAAAGTTTCCAAAGGAATTTTTACACGTTAAAGTAGACTTAGAGGATCCTAGAGGCCCGGGGGATAATGTTAAGCTAAGATTGCCTTTTGCCCTTAGCAAAGTGTCATCACCGAGGCAGCCAAGCTCCCAGAGGAATGTCAGTCACTCTGCCTGTCTGGAGGACTTGTCAATGGCTGTAAATTGTAAGAAAATTTAATCTTTCTCCTTCTGCCTTTGTTCCCCGCAACACTAGTGTTGCGGGATCCTCGAGCGCAATGGCCAAGAAAGAATGCTTGAGATGTTGTACAGTGTACCTTAGTAAGTGTAGTTACCTCACACGGGGACAGGACCCTGTGGGCACAGAGAGCTGCATTTTCGCTGTATGAAGCTGGTGGTTATATGCTTAGTGCTCAAGGGGTAAGGGATGTGCAGGGAGTATTAGGTCATAAATGTCTTCTTCGAATTATACTCATAAATCTACTGCTGCAGATTGCTAAAATGTTTATCCTTCAGCTTGATATTAACTATCAGTGAGATTTACAGGCAGTCATGAGACCCAGAATGTAGCAACTGGTACATATCTGATCCTTACTGAAACTATGCAGGCTTTGGATCAGCCTTCTGGGCTACAGGTGAACATTTTTCTGCTTCTATCCCTTGCCACCAGGACCTCTGCTCTGGGCTTGGGTTGATTCAGGCAGGCCCTACGGAGAAATCCA